AGCGCGCCGTGGGGCGAGCCGGTGTGTGCTGGGGGGACGGGGGGGGGCTGGCAAACAGCTCATCGGTGGGCCCCTCTGTAGGTGAGGCCTGCCTTCTCTGAGGCACTTTCCCTGAGCTGGGCTGCTCGGTTCATATCCCTTTCCTCTGAGGAAGGAAGGGGGCTGACGGCCCAGAAATGACGAGGCTGCCTTCTTGTCTTTTTGGGGGGCAGATGCGCAGGAGTACCTGGACGAAGTCTCCTTGCCGGACTTTGACTTGCTGAACGATCCCGGGGACGAGCTCCTGTGCGCCAATCTGATGAAGCTCATCCAACTCAGCCTGAACAAAGCCAAGATCCACTCAGGCCGCTCCTGCAAGCTCCTCATGCCGAGCCAGCTGGTCACCCAAGTGGGCAAGGAGCTGCTTCACTTGGCCTATAGAGAGCCCTGTGGTTTGAGGGGGGCCCTCATTGACCTGTGTGTGGAACAAGGGAAGGGGTGCCATAGTGTGGGGCAGATTGCTGTGGACCCCAGCCTAGTGCCAACCTTCCAGCTGACCCTGATCTTGAGACTGGATTCCCGCCTGTGGCCTAAGATCCAGGGACTCTTTAGCTCCGGCTCTGCTTTCTCTCCTGGTTTCAGTCAGTCTCTGAAGCTCAGCACGGGCTTCCGGGTCATTAAAAAGAAGCTCTATAGCTCTGAACAGTTGCTGATAGAGGAGTGTTGAAGCTTGCCACTAATTGCTCCTGGAAGGATGTAACTGAGCATTTAACTCTCCTTAAGATGGTGGCCAGCACCGAACAAAACTGGGAAGGCATCTTACTTAAAGGGCTGTGGAACATAAGCTGGTTTTTTGAGATGCGGATCCACAGCCACGGTAGGTTAGGTTAGACAGAAGTTTGATTTACAGAGGTAGTAGGCAAGTAGTCAAAAGAAGAAGGCAAGACTTGAGAATAAAACTGCACTCTCTGCTTTTTAGTAATTCTGACAGGGGAAGAAATGTCCACTCTTGACTAGGCCTGGACACTGTGCTAGCTTTAAAACTCTTGTCTGATTATGGGACAGTTTTCTCTTTGACTTAAAGAAGTACTTTTCCTGACAGCTGGTGTTATAACAGCAGCAGGGCTGCCAATAAGGGTACATGAAGGTTGCCCTTTTTTTTTTTTTTTTGGTAAGCTTTTTTTTTTTAGGAAGATAGCAGTAGCTAGTAATCAATGGATATCTGTGGGTGAGGTGAATGATTAGAGCGTTAAGGTCTAAAGGGACCAAGAATGCGTAACATTGTCCTGAATAGATGGACCTGAAGAAGCTCCACTACTGACACTAGGGCAGCTACAATAGGGCAGCTAAATAAGGACTTTGGAGTGAATGGGGGGTGTCAGTCCACTGTGCGCCATCATACTGTTCTGTTGATTTGTCTGAAGGAAGCCTGTGGGCACTAAGTGGATTGTGCCCCATTTTCTGAGTAGGAATCATGGCTATGTATGTCTGAGGGAGGTGTGAGGGGATGCAGGGAGGGATTGGGTGGGGGGCAGGAACCCTCGCGGTCAGTCTGTAGCGCTTCCATTGATTATGCCGTTCACATGGAGTACACTTGATCAAGGTGTTGTTTTTTTGAAGATTTCCTATGCAACTTGTTTTTGGTTTTTGTACTTTTCTAATAAAAACGTTTCTAATACACTTCTGTTCCCTTGATTTTCATCCATCCACGATGGATGGGTTGGTTGGATGGGGGCCAAAGATTGTGGGAGTTGGGAAGGAACAGACTTGCATTCAGTTCTTCGATGGTTTCTAAAATTGGTGAGCAGTGTTCAAGCCAGTCTGATGATGTTAATCCCCCGCTTCTGTCTTGTGGAAACACCACTATGCAGCTATGCCCTACTCTTGAGGCAGGAACTATTGGGGTGGGAAGGTAGGTGTCTTGTTCCTTTCATCCTGAAGAGGCAGTGGTCAGTTCTGGAATGGTAAAGGGTCAGAACTTTAATGGTACTCCATTGCTTGCTGGGCCTAGGGTGTTCTTGCAGCTGGTAAATGCCTGTTCAGCATCAGTCTGCCAGACATGCTAAAAGGAAAAAAATGGGTTTGGAGGTCTACAGGGTTATGGGCAGATGGCTCCTTGGATGATGAAGGCCCCTTGCTGTAGGAGTAATCAAAGGTGCTATGACAGTATTGTTCTCTAGCCTTTTAATGGTTGAAAGAAGGGGCAGCTGCCTCATTAGTTGCCACTGATGATCATCTCAATATTGTTCTTGGGGATACATGCCTACTGCCCTTCCCCTGTTCCTGGAATTCCATTGCATCAACCTTCAAAGGATGGGAGCTGGCACTGGATCTCATGGAAAGAGCTGTGGTGATAATCCAACTTGGGTTAAGAGAATCGTACACCAAAAGGGAGAATTTCCCTGCAACTGCCAGTTAATGTGCATTCTGCCCCCCCCCCCCGCCCTTATTGTGTACATGATTTTATAGCTGTTTGGGTGTGGTTTAGCTATCCAGCATAAGTACCTCTGGTCTGGAAATAGCACCTGAATTTGTGAAATATTACAGCTGAGTAACAAGGCAAGCTCAGCTTTCTGTTGCAAGGCAAGTCACGATGCTGTAGTCATCAAGCTTTTCCTGGACTACAGCTGGTACTCTTAGCAAATCAGTTAAGTGGTGTAAGTGTGCCTGTGAAAACTCTTCCTTGGCCAGAGCTACTTCTGACGGACGAATTTGCCCCAAGGAAGTTGAACTCTAAACTCTTTTCAATAAAGAGAATTTAGGCCCTGTTCAGCCTTTGAACAGCTGCCCATTTAATTGGAAGACCTGGACTGAAAGCCAAATCTCACTGAAACTACGTTTTTAATAAGTTTGGATTGTGCTATAATAGAAACAAGGACCTGCAAGGAGACAGAGAATCCATCATCCTCCCCTCTCCCCCTTAGCTGGCTTGCCCCTCCATCTTTGCTGGGTAGTTCTACTCTCACCCACTGTGGGGAACCACAAGAAGCTCAAGGGAGGGAGAATCCCCCCACAATGCTCTGCCCACCCTCCACTGACTCTTCTGCCAGTCTGGCTCCCTGTTTGTATCTTTGGGGGGGGATCTTTTACCCCCTTTCATTTTTTTTTAACTATATTTTTCTGTACTCTTGGGTGGGTGTCCCTTAAGTTTGGTGAAAAGTCTTCTGTCTACATCAGTCCAGTCCATACATTTTCTATATCTACATATGAAGCCATGTTGACTATTACATTTGATGACAAAACTAGAATCTGGGTCAAGCATATATCTCATGCACACTTGGCATTTCTGAGGTAATTCTAATTTGGTCTCATATTGGTACATGTGGTATGAGACTAGAAGATTGCTGCAACTAACTAATTGAGCCCGTAACATGGAGACCCCCTTTTCTAAAGGCTGAAAATGTATTGTGATGCATTCGTGTAAGTGCTCACTACAAGGCCCATTTTGTGTATCTGATGAAGATGGGGAGACATGGTGCATGCCACTGGTTTGTGGGCTATGCAAATTGTGATATAATAAGCATAGTTCTACAAGGGGCGTGAACGTTCTCACAAAACTTGTGGAATCTCCCAACCAATCCTGTGAATCATGTACCGTGCAGTCAGTTTTACAATGCTAACACATCACAGTTCAGCTAAAGCATGATGTCAGCATGTTGGGGTTTCATTTTTCAACTCAACTATGGGCATTGCAGAAACACTGACTACAGGGAGGTGGTCTCTTGGAGAAGCAGACCTTAAGGAAGTCACACATTCAATGACAAAGCACTGGAAGGCCCAGCACTCTTTTAATCTGTGGAGCGGGGGAAGTATCAAGATGTGGTAACCACAAAAGGCTGGTAAAAGTGTGCAAACGTATCTCTTGCTGAAATAGACTAGTCATTCAAGGCTTACCTAAATTGTGCACTAGGGCAAGGATGAAGTTAAGTACAAATACACAGGCAAGCCCTCTCCACAATTAGGGCTGTCATTGAATTTGGGGTGTGGGGTGTGTGTACGCGCTGGATTTGAGCTATCAGCCTAGGTAGAATCTCAAAATCCACTTGAGGGCTTGATAAGATGTCAGCTACAGCCCAAATGGAATGATTCCCTGTCGGTGCAAATCCAGAAGTGTTTGCAGAGACGATGGAACATCTGCCAGGAGGATCGCTGACTCTGTGATCATCTTAAACTAAGCATAGCAACACGAAGCTTGATCGCTGTTTCTATTATTGTTTTTTAAATTATTGTTTTAATTATTTAACTACTATTGTTGAGACTATGTGACTTTGTAACCCGCCCTGAGCCCATTTGCAGGGAGGGCAGGATAAAAAGCTAAATAAATAAATATTCTCTAATTTTCTTATATGCCCTTGTGCCTGTCAGTCCTCCTTCCTAGCGTGCCAGCTGTAAAAATCAGCAGTTGTTATCTCACTATAGTGCCGAAACACTCTAGGCAAAAAGCCGGGGGGGGGGGGATTGGAGAAAGGGCAGCCAATACGGGAAATGGCACCAATGTAGGTGGGGAAGTCTGAAAATCTGCACCTGCCTGTCCAGATGGTGACCAGACTAGCTTTAAGTACAATCTGACTTGAAAGATCATTCAGTACAGAATTGAGGGAAACACAGCGAGGCAGGGGAAGACCTCACAGTTGAATGATTGCAAGACACTGGGAGGCCAGGCTGAGTTGAACATCCCTGCGGAAGCTGCCACAATCACCTTATGCTGCAGCATCATTGCACTTTCCCAGCATGCCAAGTACAGTATAGCAGTGCTGGAGAAATGCAGTTCTTACCCCAACTGCTAGAGGTCAAAGGGACTTGGGAGTGCATATCCCCCCCCCCCCCCGTATTAAGTGAGTCTGTATTCCCTGTACTGCATGTCTTGTTTTCTGCCCCAGGCTTCCTCAGGTGGACTGTCCCCCAATGCCATTTAAAAAGTGTGTTATGGATGTTTAATCGTTTAAATGTTTGTTAGCTTTTTGTGTTGAGGAAAATTCATTGAAAATAGCTAAACAATTTGGTGGGAGGGGGGCAAGAAGAAAAAATGGTTTTGTGACGTTACAAGTGCTAGCCAATGAGTGCTGTACAGAACTGGCCTTTGCTGCAAACTGCCCTTCTCCCTACCTCAAGCTCAGTCCTGGGCAGACTATGGTATGTTTGCATGTGATCACAGTGAGGCTCTTCTGCACAGGGGTCATTTCGTAGAAAAAGAGCTAGGGGAACTCATTAGCATGACTCATTAGCATATGCCACACCCCCTGACATCAGGGGCCCGGCGGTGGACCTGCAAGGCCAGCGGGAGTGCGAGGAAGCCCCGCCAAGGCCCTCCCTGGCCCCAGGCAGGCAGGGGTGGGGAGAGGCGGGGAGGAAGCAACTTACCCTCCCTCTTCTCCTGCCTCCTCCTGGCTGAATGAGGGCTGGAAGCAGGGCAGCCGGAAGCAGGGGGCGGGGCTTCATCATGTGCCCCACCCCCCTGCACCTCACCCAGGGGAACTGCGTTCCCCCGCGTTCCCCCCCAAAATGACCTCTGCTTCTGCAGCAACTTGACTGTATAAGCAATTTGCTGCTGTTCTTTGCTGTCAAGTCACAGCTGACTCATGGTGACCCCGTGGGATTTTCAAGGCAGGAGACATTAAGAGGTGGTTTGTCATTGCCTGATAGTACACTGATGGAAAGAACACAGTCCAGATTTCTAAGAGCAGTGCTCCAAACACCAAGGAATATGTCAAATGCAGCTATAAAATTGAACGCTGGGATGGTAACGGACAGTGGAAGCCAGATTATGGGTTGCAGTTGTATTATACTGGTTAAAATTGGCCTCTACCACAAATGGTCTTGCACATCTAATTCTGAATGATAATTTTGTCCCTCCCTGGTTGAGATTGCTGAGGAACAAATTAGATTATTATGGTTTGTCTCAACAATATCTACTGTCCATGAATATGGCAGAGGCTGAGGTCTTGGTTAAACAAAGAATTTTAGACGTGGAAAGGCAACATGACCTGACTAGAGTTAAGAACTGTTTACTGGAGAGATGCATCATGAATAAAGTCTCATCAATAAACAGCTTAGAAAACCCTGACTGTAGGAGAGCATACTACTGCATGAGGCCCTTCCCTCTGCTGTCCCGGAAGGCAAATATAAGACGATACCATATAAAAAATGC